AGTACACCAAGTCTCTGCTGCAGTTCAACCCTGACGCCTTTGCCATTGCCGCCGAGCGCGACGCCGAACGCGCCGCTGGTAAGGTTCGCGGACCTCTCCACGGCATCCCCTTCACCGTCAAGGACAACATCGCCACCAAGGACAGCCTCGAGACCACCGCCGGTAGCTACGCCCTTCAAGGCAGCATCGTCCCCCGCGATGCTCACGTCGTCGCCCGCCTGAGGGAGGCCGGCGCCGTCCTCTTCGGCAAGGCTGCTCTCTCTGAGTGGGCCGACATGCGCAGCAACAACTACTCCGAGGGCTATTCAGCTCGCGGTGGCCAGGTTCGCAGCGCCTACAACCTGACTGTCAACCCCGGCGGCAGCAGCTCGGGCAGCGCCGTGGGTGTTGGCTCGAACGCCATCGCCTTCTCTCTTGGCACTGAGACCGATGGCAGTGGTGAGTACTTTTCCCCCCCCTCCGGTTCATGTCTTGGAATCAGAGACGCATCCGGCCTCCAGCTGGAATGAGACGCAAGCTGACAACAGATCGACCAGTCATCAACCCCGCCATGCGCAACTCACTCGTTGGCTTCAAGCCCACTGTCGGACTCACCTCTAGGGCTGGGTATGTTCGCTTCTTGATTCGCGCCGTTCGCTGCTAAACAGGGTCTAGCGTCATTCCTGAGAGCGAGCACCAGGACTCGGTCGGCACCTTCGGGCGCACCGTTCGTGATGCTGTCTATGCTTTTGATGCCATCTGGGGCATTGACCCCCGTGACGAGTATAGTCTCGCTCAGGAGGGCCACACGCCCGAGGGTGGCTACACTCAGTTCCTGACGACCAAGGCGAGTCTCAAGGGCGCCGTCTTCGGCATTCCCTGGAAGAGCTTCTGGGTCTATGCGGACGACGCCCAGAAACGCGTCCTCAACAGCTTGATCTGCAGCCTCAAGGATGCCGGCGCCAAAATCGTCAACAACACGGAGATTCTCGACTACGAGACCATTGTCAGCCCGCACGGCTGGGACTGGGATTACGGTTCCTTCCGCGGTTTCCCCAATGAGTCCGAGTACACCGTCGTCAAGGTCGACTTTTACAACAACATTAAGACGTATTTGTCTGAACTCGAGAACACGAACATTCGCTCCCTCGAGGATATTGTCCAGTACAACTATGATAACGACGGGTCTGAGGGTGGGAATCCCTGGCCCCTCGGTAACCCGGGCTTCTACTCTGGCCAGGACGGCTTCCTTGCCTCGCTCGAGACCAAGGGCATCAAGGACGAGACGTACCTCCAGGCCGTTGAGTTCACGGGCCGCTCTACTCGTGACGGCATCAACCACGCCTTGAGCCTCGGTCCCAAGGGGACAAAGCTGAATGGTCTTCTTGTGCCTCCTGATGTCGGCCAGAGCTATCAGATCGCCGCCCAGGCCGGTTATCCCGTCGTCACGCTTCCCGTGAGCGTGCATGAGAGCACAGGCATGCCCTACGGCCTTGCCATCATGCAGACGGCCTACGGCGAGGCTGAGCTGGTCAAGTGGGCCAGCGCCATCGAGGACCTGCAGCTTACTTCCGGCACGCCTCTGAAGAGGTCACTGCCCAAGTGGTACGGCTACCTCGAGAGGAACATTCCCATCAACAACGTTTGAGGAGGTTCTCGTTGTTGTTAAATTTGTACATAACTAATCTCACACTTATATACCTTGCCCACATAGTAATCCCCCTTATCAAAGGGTGTTCATTGGTTCGCGCTATGACCGGTCTTGTGTATCGAGTGGAAGACGCTGACGCTGAATGGGAGCAGGCCGACATGCCTACTGTCGGCCTACTGTCGGCCTCGCTAGAACTGGTGATCTGAGGGCAAGGCAAGTTGGTCCATGACCCCTCCAAGGGAGGCGAGGCCCTCTACTACTCAATTATACCCGAGTTCACGCTGCCCTCGGGTTGTTCTTGCGAACCTGTCCCTTTGACATGGGGCCAAGCCTAGATGCATACAAGGCCCAAGAAGCGAGTCGCAACGGCTTACTACACTCGAGGTGCCAGTGCTGAAGCATGCGTCTGCCATCCATAAGAGACCAAAGGCCCTCGTCCTGATCAGGAAATGCTCTTCGCCACAAACTCTATCCTGCTCACGGCCCTCCCATGGTTAGCGCTCACCTCTAGCGAGGACCCTGCTCATATCTCAGGACAAAGCAATGCGGTGACGATCACGGGCGGGACCACCATGGACTTGTCGATCTCTGCCACTGTTTGTGCGGCCGCTGGCCAGCATCGGCACTGGAAATTTGGGGACGGTCGCGATCGGAAGTTGAGCGACGCGGGAACGAGCGGGTCTAGCTAGCGTCGATGGCGGCGGACGGCGCCGTCGGCCGTGGAAGGCAGTCTATTGGATCGTGCATCGGTTCCGGGTTACACGGCCCCGCATTTCTTCTCTGACTCCGTTGTGACTTGTTCATGGCGGCACGTCCACTTTTCAAAGTGCGGTGGGAGGTGTGCGTGATTCGGCACGGCGAGGTGGATGTGAGGGTCGAGAGCGAGATTGCGGCCTTGTGAGACTCTGACGCACATGTTGAAGCTCCGTTCTAGCAGCAGCTCATATAAGTATAGTAACGTTACTTCTCGTTAACGAGTGGAGATTTTATCATGGGCACAGCGTTCTGGGAAGTTGTTCAGGTCCATCTTCGGAAACGCAGCGTTCTTGCTACTGACGAAAACCGAGAGCCAAGGTGGTCGGATCGTTCGGGGGGCAGCAGTCTGATGATCATCTGTAAAGAAAGCAGCGAACCACGAGACATAGATCCCTGTGATAGACTTCTCACACTTTCCGTCAGTAGTTTTCATATAGAAGAGGCGACTTTCTACTCAACCTGTTAAGGCTTCCTGAGAGGCATCTAGCTTGTACACCCCACGTGATTTGCCATCCTCGGCTTTATAGTAAAGGTGAATCCCTCCGTCCTCTGAGGTATCGGGTATAATGACCTCTGACACCTTCGAACTCATGAATCAATGCTCATTGATCTACGCCAATGCTCTGTGTGCCATGGAGCACGTATCAGTGTTACGGGTAAGACCCGTTGACATTGTAAAGGCCTGGGGTCTATATGGTACCTCTATAAATGCAGCCCAGTTGAATAAACGTGAATCAACGACGTTGATCCAATACCTATCATTTAGCTGAATTGGACAGCTGCCATGAGGCACTTTCGACCGTGTGACGGCTGCCACCAAGCCCCATTTGGGCCGACCGTAACAACTATATGTAGCACATAATGCTTTTAGGGATACTGTACGTCAACAAAAGCCCCTCTTTCGAGTGCGGAATGATACCGGACCTGAAGAGGACGACCCGGCCCTCATGGCTCTGAAAACAACCCGGTCAAAGAGTGGTCATCTAGCCCCGCATGACCAGAGGCATTTTAAACATGAAGGTGCGAGCGCATGCAGCTTGTTCACCTGAATCTGAGGCCTGCAATGATGGGAATCTGCGATTACCATTCGACAAAGAGGGCCTGTTGCGGGTTGAATGCATATGCGAACCGCAGCGCCCTCTGACGTTGGTATCTTTGGATCTCCAACTACTACCTGAGTGGCCGGGGAATGGGCCCGCCCAGTGTCCGATCAGCTCGAAACAGTCAAGCGTCGATGCGTCATCTGCAGTCATGCAATATCTCGATGCAGTCATCCACAAGCATGCGGTCATGCTGTGCGTCCTCTGACTGACGATGCCCTCGGCGAATACCCTCTGCTCCTCTGCTCGTCAGGAACCTACTTCTATCGGGAAGGGAACATGATGTGATGCAGCAAGGGACTATATATGAGGGGCTCGGCTGTCTCCCTCCAGCAGCGAGACTTCACATTGCACTTCAACCATTTCGCATTATCACCATCCTAGACAGGCCATTTCATAATCGAGATATCGAGTCTATATCCCTCGATTCACTCCATCATTTCGCTCTCAATTACTCCTCCACTCTCATCATGTCCGCTCGCGCACGTTCGGCCGCCATGCCACCCAAAACCAGCTCCACGCAGGCCGGAGTCAAACGGTCAAAGCCGTCACACATCACTGCCGCTCAAACGCCGAAACCGGCCGCCACGGCGCAATCAACAGGCCCCTCACTGCCTGAGCCAGTGTTCTTCTTCAAGCCTGACGATCCAGAGGTCGGGTTTCTTTCTCAATGGTACCCCAGTCCCTTCTCGGACCCGTCAGACCCCTCCGTTGTCTTCCCGTCAGCCGAGCACTACATGATGTACCATAAGGCCCTCCTCTTTGACACGTCCGCCGCCGCCGGCATTCTGGAGGCGACGAACGCGAGTGAGGTCCGCGCCCTGGGCCGCCAGGTGGCTGGCTTTGACGAGCCGGTCTGGAATGAGAACAAGATGCGCATCGTCACGGAGGGGAACCGGCTCAAGTTCTCGCAAGGCTCCGCGTCAAGACTGCTTCGCGAGCGGCTGCTCGCTACGGCTGGTCGGGATCTCGTCGAGGCGAGTCCGACGGACCGCATCTGGGGCATCGGCCTCAGTGCCGAAAAGGCCGCGTCGTCCGACCGCAAGAATTGGGGGAAGAACCTCCTGGGAACTGCGCTGATGACGGTCAGGAAGGAGCTGCTTGCCGAAGAGGACAGGCTGAGAGAGGAGGCGGAGCGTAGATAAGCGGTCTTCTAGTTTGATTAGTTTTCAGAACGTGAACAGTTCTTTGGCTTCTTTGATCAGGTTTCGTAGCTGCGTCTGTTTGGTGTTCCGCTATACGGTCGGCCTTGCAAATACTATTATACTCACCCGGAGAGCCGTTGATGACCAACTGTGAAGGGCGATGCTTGATCACAAGAAATCTCCATGTCGCAGATTCGAGTGTCATTTTCGCCGAGTACAGGGGCCACTTCAACAGCAAGCAATACAAATTGAAGGAGCCTGATAAGGAAGACAAACAAGACGTCTTGGCCTGATAACAACCCTCCCCCCCAGGACTCTCGTCGAACCACGTCTCGACGGCTCATCTGGGCTATCTCTGGCTTATCATGTCGGAACTTGCGATCCGTGATAAGGCTCGAGATTGGCGCGCCAGCTTCGTGCTCGACATCTGCCCACCCCTCCCCCCTTCGCGATAAGGACTTCCCGTCCCTGCGAGTTCCCCAGGTTCTTTCCCCCAGCCTTTGCGGCCCTCAGATCTGAACGGGGCCATCCGGATCGACGACAGGGTGCAGACCATATGCAAGCCCGTCCGATCCGATCTCGTGAGGCTCCAAACGGCAGTTGAGGCGGGGCCGTTACACGCGGCTGAACGACCGCCCCGCCAAGTCGACCCTGACATGACAAGACACGATGCGACACGAACAATCACAGAGCTCGCGGCAAATGAGCAAGAACCTTGGAACAAAATAAAAAGACTCTCTCGTGAAAGGGAAAAAAGTGGAATCGCTCTCTATTACAAGTCTATTCCCAAAACAAAACGAATTCTCATGATACATCTTTGTTTCATTCTCCCCGCCTTGGCGATGGGCGCGAGCTCTCTGTCTCTTCGCTCTCTCACGCGGCGGCGGGCTCACGGCATCCTGCGAATTATATCGCCAAGATACCCTGCACAATGCGCTCGGTCGTGTTCTGCAGCGGCATGTATCCGAACCAGTCGGAGAAGTCGCGCAGGCAGTCGTTCCTCAGCTTGGCGTGGCCCGGCTTGCGGCTAATGCCCGACTTGGGCTCCGTGTTGACGGGCAGGCCCATGCCGTGAACCTCGAGGGGGCCCTCGCAGGACAGCATGGAGGAGACAAAGTTGAGTGCGATATCCTCGCAGTTGAAGTGCTCATCAATAGCAGTGCGCAGGCGGGTCATGAGGGGGTCGGTGGAGGAGAAGTAGTCGAGCACCTCAATGTGAGCGAAAGCGAGGCCCGTCAGCACAAGGGCGTATTCGGAGCGACCCTTCTCGCGGCAAAGGCTGTACTGGTAGCTTCCGGGCCCGCGAGGGGTGTCGACGCAGCGGGCAAAGGCACCAGTGAGGCGGTGGCGGCCGTACTTGCGCCAGGTCTGGAAGACAAAGTCGAGGTCGGCGGGCGGGTAGTGGACATCGTCGTCGGAAAGAAGGATGGCCTTGGTCTTGTACTCTGGGTCGGGGAACAGCTTCTCGTTCAGCGAGTTGCGGCGGGAGACACGGTAACGAACGCCGACGCCGTGGGCGGAGACAAAGTTGGGCGGGGGCGTGGACTCGAGGTCGTTCCACACGATGACGATTTCGTGCAGAGAGGGAATCACGTTGTCTGTGAGGAGGTGGAGCGTCTGGTTCAGTTCATCGGGACGCCGGTACGTCTGAATGGCAATGCTGCAGAAGGGCACGAAGGAGTGAGGGACTGT